TGTTATGGCAGCCAAACCCTGACATTTTCTTTGCCACCAAAGGAACAAATCCTGATCTGTAATCCTAGCTAGTGAGAGTTGTAAGTATGGAATGTATAGCTAACCTGCAATTTACGCTTTAAAAAGAAGACTATTATGAGCAATTAAGGTAGGTACACTTTTACCATTTCAATTAATAGCTTAGACCAGTGATGGCGAACCTTTTAGAGACCGAGTGCCCAAAAACTGGCCCCGCCCTGCTCCACCCCCTGCCACGCCCCCGCTCTGCCCCCCCATCCCCTGCCCCGCCTGCCCACAGGACCACTCACTGCCTCCAGGGCCCACCGCAGAACGCCCAGGCAGCTCAGCAGTGCTATGGCAGCCACACCCTCTGCCTGTGCCCTGCAGCATCAACTGCATGATGGGATGTGAGGGCAGAGTCTTGTCTACGCTGCCTGGCTACCATGTCCTTGGCTGCGCTGCTCCGTGTGGGCCACGCTCGAGGGCGACTCTCCTTCAGGGGGGCTGCTGGAGAGGAGGGGGTCACGGGGGGAGGCAAGGCTGGGGCAATGGCACGTGTGCCCACAGAGAGGGCTCCGAGTGCCACCTCTGGCTTAGACAAAAAGATGGAAAGAGTGCTTTATCAGTATAAGTGCTTTATCAGTATCCTGATAATTTCAGGTTGGAATAGTTAATATTCTGAATTGTATTTGCTTTGAGCATAATGTTTGCAAATAACAAAATAAGATTCAGTAAAATCATATCAGATAACAAAAAGAAGACCTGACACTGGCTAAGAGCAGGAAAGTTGAAGGAGACAAAGGGACTAATTCTGGCTGCAGAAGACCAAGCCTTAAAAACAAATGCATATAAAACCAGAATTGAGGAGGCAGCAACAGACAATAAATGTTACCTCTGCAAAGAAGTTGGAGAAAAGGTGGCTATGTTTACTGTAGTTAGTGCTGCAAGATTGCACAGGCTGATTAGAAACAAAGGCATGACAAAATAGCAACAATGCATTGGAATGTCTGCAAGAAGTAGTGCTTGTCTGCAAGCAAGAACTGATGAACTACAGAATAGACAAAGTAATAGAAAAGAAGTTAAAGTTCTCTGGAATTTTACAATTCAAACAGACAAACGCCTGCCCTATAACTTCTCAGACTTTATAATTGTCGATAAAAAAGACAAAAAAAATCTGGATAGTGAACACTGCAGTACCTGGAAAGAGCAGAAGAGAAGAGAAAAATTTGAGAAAAATCACAAAATACAAGAGCTGCAAAAAAAAAAGTAGAACAACTGTGGCAAAAGAAAGCAAAAAATAATACAAATAGTAATAGGTTCCTTGGGTGCAATCCCAAAACATTTACAGCACCCTTGAATACTATTGCAAAAGGCAGCTTTACTTGGAACAGCTTACATCCTGCGATGATACCACTAATATTATTAAAGAACAACATCTGACTACCTTAAGTTCTTGGTAAGAACGGACAAAAATGCTGAATCCAGTGTAAACCTCTAGCTAGCTATGCACCCAACCATAATAAATGAAACATGTTTGCCATCCAATTCTCAGTGGCTCTGGATGGCTCACAGTAGTCAAAGAAATTACAATAAAATGAAGACGCTGTAATATTAATGCATAAACATACAATGAAGATAATTTTGGGAAAGGTGGAAAGAAAAGGAGAAAAAGAGGAAAAAAAGAGAAGAGGACAACCAGAAGCAAGGAGGATGATCACGATTATACTAGTGATGGGTATGCATTTGGACGACTAGAAAGACCAAACTGGGTACAGACTGTCCTGGAGAAAATCTATCTATGTGGTAGTTGAGATTCAATACTGATTTGATGGCACATAACCCAGCAATCATTGCAAAGAAATATAACCATTCTTTTTAGGGGAAAAAAAAGTGAATGTACAAATTTAAGATCATGGATTTTATGGACTTTGGAATAATAAGAAAAGAATCATTCTGAACTTGGTTAGCTGTTTATATTAGCAAGAAGAGCAAAATGATATAACTTGTTCGTTTCAAGATAGAATTTGCTAAAATATTGCCTTTCCACAATTCTGTGCCAATATAGCTATTGTCTGCTAGTAGAAATGCATACAGCAGCTGTTAAGGAGGAGTTATGCAGAAGTGAAAAGCAAAGTGAAGTGGGAGCAGCCGTTCAATCTTCTGTGTGTTCAGCGGAACAAGACTGACTTTCTGTATTTTTGATTTTATGTTGGGTATTGTCACGTGACATGCTAAATTGCATTATGCTTTACTTTAGGGTGATGCCCTAGTTAAAAAATCAGAGTGTGACTAAAGCAGAATTAATCAACTCATCCCTTGCTCTAAGTGAAGTTACCTTATGATCTGGAATATAATTTGAATATGAACAGAGTCTTCTTTTGTCCCCTCGCTGCTTCTTTGCTTCCGTTCTGTTTTTCCCATGGGGATTGGGTAGGGTTTTTTTTTTTTATCCATTCTCTTTCCAGAGGTTCTGATGCCATCATTTTCACAAAAAAGAAGGGCATTGGGGAAGAAAAAAAAAGAAATAATGTTTGGCTAGTTAGTTCAAGTATAAATGGGACTCTGCCATGTTTAAAAGGGCTTGCAAAAAAGGCAAAAAATAGAGTCATCGTTTGCTGTATTGCCAATATGTATTTGCTTGGTAGGTCATTTTTGATTGCTAAGAGTGATTTACTGCATGTGTTAGTGGGGGGTATCTAAATATGACTAGATACTCTTGCTGTTCTTTATAAGCTGTTCTGGGATCCTTTCAGTTGAAGTTTAATTCAGAATTAGTAGATTAAATACTTTGAAAAAAAGCCATTTTATATATAGTTACATATGTCTGCCTATGTTATGCTGCAAAGTGTGAAATATTTTAAGGAAGTCAGAAGAAAAAAAATCTTTAAGTTATTAATGTGGTACAAAGTACTGTAGGTCAAATCGTAAAATTATTTATTATTTTGACCAAAGAAATCTGTATAAGTATTATGGAAATGTCTTCCATTTTAAAATGGACAGATGGGCCTTTGTAAAGAAATTTTGTTTAGATGGTAGCAATAGGGAGGCTCCATGTAATTTTCTGTCAGATGGGAGCAAAAAAATAGCCTTACTTTTCTTCATTTAACTCTTAGCAAAAGAACAGTTTAGGGGCAGCTAAAACAGGCTGTTGATTTACCCCTTGGTGTCTGATGGGTTCTGCCCTGTCAAAAGGGATCAATTTAGAAGGTTTGTACTCAGCAGCTTCTGTTTTGACTTCTGCACTGTGTATTAGGGCTGCTATTTTGTTTCTTCCCTAATTCCTTTTTTTCTGAAGTTGAGAACAGTTCTTGATCACCTTTCTAAATGAGGTAACTTCCTCTAGGGCAGACATGTCAAATTTGCAACGGGCCGGTTTTCCCATTGCTGACAATGGGGTGGGTGTGGCTTCCACGTGACACATCCGGCCTGTGGGCCGGTAGTTTGACACCCCTGCTCTAGGATCTAAGCCAGGGGTTCTCAACCTTGGCAACTTTAAGACTTGTGGACTTCAACTCCCAGAATTGAAGTCCACAAGTCTTAAAGTTGTCAAGGTTGAGAACCCGTGTAAGCTTCAGTGTTTTCTAATTTCTCAATTAACTTCAAATATATTAGCAGATTAATGTTAGACTATGGTTCTCTTTGTGTCAAGAATATCCTTGAGGCATTGTCTGCTGACTTTTAGATCAATTATTAAAAATAATGTATCGTGCTCTGTTCTGGAATTATTTTTTTGCTGGTGTGTGTGTGTTTGTGTATAAATGTTCCAATTATTTCCATTAAAGGTTTTTTTTTTTAAAGCCTTAAACTATATATCAATTTTCCCCAGGCTGGTGTTCAAATGTTCTAATTGGGTAAACTTGATAAGCTTGATGGGAAATGTAATCCACCATGTGGAGGAGGCTATATTTTGACCTTGTTGATCACACAATAATACTGCACATTATCCATGTCTTTGTATTTGAGTAATTTTTTCACATTGACCATCTGTTGTCAGATAATGCCTTGAGTTTGTAATTACGTAGCTGTGGATGAAGAACATTAAAGGCCTATGCTCTTAGATGTTTAAAGAAAACTGATAGCATTAGGCAGCGATATACGATGCTTAAAAAACTCCTGCTACATGAATTTGCTACAACCAAATCTGGAGAATGTCCCAGTTTGTTCAGGAGACAGAAGAATCCGAAGTACTATCATTAATTATTGACACCATATATATTCCCAGAGTGACAAAAAAGTAGTCCACTAGATGGAGCAGAAGTATAGTTGACAAATGGCTCAGCTGAGAAGACATTGAAATTATATGTCTTCTCTACTGAGATTAAAATGAAATATGCTAGAAAGCTTAGGTGGAATATTGTTTTCCCTTGTGTAATCAGGGTGGTGTAAAGTACGGTAGTTATGTTTAATATTTGCTATTGTGCTGCTAAACTCTTCTTTAAAACAATAATTAATGATGTTCTGCTGAGCAAATGTGTTATAATAATTTGTTCTATTCTTTTTTACTTCCCCATGCTTCAAAACATTCATAGCCGGATAATGATATTTTGCTAATTTGTTAATTTGATTGTGTTGTGGTGCTGTTTTAGGTTTCTCATTTTTATACGTTAAACAAATATGGTGGGGATCAAATGTAACTTTAGGATTTTATAGCAGTGTAGTCCTGGGCAATATGTGCAAGTCCTTGTTTTTTCTCTATAATTCCTATTGCATTTCATGAACACATTTTTTTTGTCAGTTTGGGCCTTCTTGGATTGTGTCAGGGATAATAAGGATGCTGCATATGTCCTGAGTGTGGACTGAGTTTGTGCACATTGCCCTGTGTCCAGTGTTTAAGAAAAATGTTCTTGAAAGTGGAAAAGCAAGAATATTTTTTCCCCTGAAAATAGATCAAAATATCTTTTGAATTGATAGCTTGGATTTGTAAAAACTAGGTTGAGGTAAACATCTTTTTTTTTCTATTGTTGACACTAGTAAAATGAATGAATTATTTTCTTTTTCAGTTAGCAGATTGGAGGAGAGGGAAGCAGAACTAAAGAAGGAATACAATGCTCGTCATTCAAGGCATACAGAGGTAGGTAACTACGTATTTCTTTGAACAGTGCCTCTATGTAATGAGTGAATTCAGGGACCTGTGCTTAAAGGTACCCAGTATATTAATCTGTTATCAACATTTTCTGAAAAAGCTCATAGGGTTTTGATTCTTTGCTTTTGAAAGCATTGGTGGCTCTTGGATATTGCTGATGTGTTAGGGTAGAATTAGATGGTATATTTACAACACATAGTTTGAGTTCAGACAGGTGGTTGTTGGCATAATTGAATATGGTAAGGGAGAACTTGTGGAAAAGATTGGTAGATTTGAGAAATGTAGGTAGTTCATTTACTGCCAACTGCTGATCAGTCGAGATAAGAAATTTATCTTCCCAAATCCTAAATTTATCTGCCTAAAAAGTAATGAGCCGTATGAAATCTGTTGAACTGAACTCCTTTCAGTTTTAACAACCATTATAGATAGGGATTATCCTCATCATCTTTTATGCTGTCTGACTTTCAACAATTCTGGATGATGGAAACGGTGATCCTATGAATTTCAGAAGCCCACCCACTAACAATCTTCTCAGATGTTTATATTTTATTGTCAAACTTTGCCTGATTTATGCCACTTAAGCCCATCTTTTCTTGTGGTAAAAATATTAGATATGCATGCTTTTTAAGGCAATGTCATTGAATGTAATCTGGCTAATGACCAACCAAAGTATAATCTGAATAAAAGGTTAGCAACATGTTTTTGATTACATAGTCTTTGGCTTATAACCATTTGTTTAGCGACTGTTTGAAAGCATGACAATACAAAAAACGTGATTTACGATTGCTCCTTGCACTTATTACTGTTGCAGTGTCCCCACATGATTAAAATTCGTGTTCTTGCCGATCAGTATGCAGTTATTGTAGTTGTATATGTCATTGCTATTCGCAACCTTCCCAGGGGGCTTCCAACAAGCACAGTCAATATGGGAACCCTTAACAACCATGTGATTCATTTAATGCCTGCAGCAAAAAGATAAAATCAGGTACAGTGACTGCCTCACTTAGAGATGGAGGCTCCGGTCCCAACTGTGATCTTAAGCCAAGACTACATGTACCCAGATTATATTTGTCAAGTAGTGAATAAAGTCTTGATGATGCAAAAATTACTGTGAAGTACTACTGATGATAATTGTGGCCAGTGCAATTTGTTTTTTTCCCTTTGATGTTTAGTTTATATATTAAGGTACCATTGTCAAACTGCAGAATAATTGAGATGGACACAGAAAAAGTAATATAAAGCATACAAAGGATATTAAGTTAAATGTTGAATACCAAAATGGGTCAATTTAATATTTCTATACAACAGTGGTAATGAATGTTGTACATTGGTAAAAATGAGATAGAGAATGTCTTCAAAGGTTACAAACTAAAAAAAAAATGAAACTGGGAAAGTAGTGGGAGAAATTCACATGTGATATCAGTCATTGTTATCAAATGAAGAGTATCTTTGACCATCTGTGAATTAATAGCCAGGGGACAGTCACAGGGAACTGTACTGGCAATATAAACAGAGAATGAAATTTGTAAGATGCAATATTAATCCTTTCCTATGCATTTGATTAACAATAAATTCTTGAGCGAGACTTACAATACACATATATAGTAGGTGAAGTTAATTGGTAACACACCAAGTCTCTAAGGCAAAATAGAAATAACTTGATGTTGGTGAACATTAATGGTATTCATTAAGTGAGCATATGACATCACCGAGGTAATTTAACAGACAATACTCTAGACCACGGGTGTCAAACTCGATCACGTCACGTGACATATCATGACACTGTTTGCCTTTGCGGAGCCGGGGCAGGCGTGGTCTGCACGTAACACATCCATCCCGCAGACTGCCAATTTGACACCCCTACTCTAGATTATAAATGCAGACTACTGCAGAGAAAAAAAATGGAAGCATTTCCTATTATTCAAGACCTGTAGAATATATTTTTATATATATATATGATATATTTATATATTTATTATATCATAATACTTGGGGATATATATACATGTAAAGAGGAAATTAAAATTACATATGTATACATTAGTGCTGCTTAATGTGTATCTCACACAAACACCCAAAATATTTTAATTAATTAATTAATTAATTAATTAAATCCATTACATTATTTGGTAATACTAAAACAAGCCACTGAATTTAACATGTTTCTCTTCAATGTATCAAATAGATTATTGGCCACACAGAAAGCATTGTAACATGTAGTTCTACAATACTAAGTATTTTTAATTAAGACTTACTGATTTTCATCAGCAGGCTGAGCAACTTAAATAGATGCATCAAATAAAAAGGTTTTCTTGCTAGAAGAGTCAATTTGTGAAGATTAAAGATAGTGGTCCTTTAGGATTTATGCTATGACTTTTAGATATCCAGAAATTTTAATCCTAATATATAAGTTGCTTATCTGAGGCAGCTGGGTCTGCTTTTTTCCAAGGGATAAAAAAAACCCTATATCTTGAAATACAGTACTGTAATTTCTTGTGCCTCATCTTAGCTGAAGTGTTTTTGGTCCTTGGTAAACAGAGGTATTCTCAAACATATGAAAATCATTAAGCGCTGTAAAACATATTTAAGAAGAAATGGCAAAAGATTTAAATGTAACTTAATCAAAAGTACCTCTTAGAACACTCAGAAACTTTCTGTTTAATATGCTCTGATTGATGAAGCCACCTTGAGTGCCAATTTGGTAACAGAAACCATGAATAGAAAGTAAAGCAATGATTAAACCCAATCATTAGCAAGAAATGTTAACAAGCAGCAATTAATGTCTCCCTCTGCCAAGAGAAACTCTCAAATTGTTCATGTATGTGCTTCTCTATGCCTGTAAAGAGAGCTAGTATATTGTACTGCAGGGGTGGACCGATACCAGGCCACGGCATGCCAGTAACCAGTCCGCACAAACAAGCAAAGCCCCATCCGTGGGATGCAGGCAGCACACAAACCCACGCAACTCTCCGGTCCATGGAAAAACTTTTCTCCATGGAACCGGTTTCTGGTGCCCAAAAGGTTGGGGACCTCTGCTGTAATGGATAAAGGCAGCAGGCTAGAATAGAAACCAGGAGATCATGAGTTCCAATTCTGCCCTTAGAAACAGAGCTAGCTGAGTGTCTTTGGGTCAGTTAGTCTCACTCAGCTTCAGGAAGAGGAGCATAACAGAATAATACACTATGGCAAACTATTTCTAAAAACACTGCCAAGAAAACTATAAAGACAGTTCTTGGTCAGTCAGGTAAAGAAATATATCAGAAATAATAAACACCTTTTAATAACTCCATTTTAATTGTAACTTTTTTTGTCTTATGGTTATATAAACAATGATATAAAAATACAAATGATGCCTGATTATCATTCTTTTTTATTTTTTAAAACGCAAATGATTATTATTCAGAGTATTTGTAAATCACATAGAAGTTTATATTATCCAGTTATGAAAATACAAAGGTCACAGATTAGAAATAATGTTAGTTCTTTATGAATTAATTGTACACAGTAGCAATTTCTCTTTGGATTATTTCACTTTCACATTATGAATGACAAAATAGCCTCTCATGCTATTTTGCTTAATCTGAAATGTTCATGAATATCCTTTTGATATATATCAAATGACCACAGTGCAGTATGAAATGATGGTAGGCTCAACTATAGATAGTTACAATTCAAAAAGAGATAGTTGTACTAATTATAATTTGCATTTATCTATAATTGGTTTATCTTTGAAGGGAGTAATTGATTACTTAATGAAAATATTTCTATTTTAATGTTATAGTTATTGAAATAATGTTTAATAAGCCATCCATCTTTATGAAATCCTTAAACATGCACATGAGTCTTTTTTTGTGCATCATCTGATCCTATTTTGATGCCGGAAATACGGGAAATATTTTTCTGCACATTTTAAAAATGTGATAAAAGACCTTTGCTTGAAGCTGTCTTACCAGGTACTTGGCTGACAGTATGACATAGCTTCCAACCATTTGTGCAGTGATGTAAATAAATCTGGCTGTCTAACCCTTGGTGAAATTCTTGATCTCTGTCTCATTTACTCAGATAAAAAAGTACCTCAATCGACTGTTGGCATATTAAAGAGCTTAAGAATACACTTTTTAATTCTAGAGTCTATTTCCAATTAATTCTAATTCTACAATAGGAATCTTAAAAAACACATTTATATGAAATTGATCTAGAAGTAGTTTAATGTGACACAAAGAAATAGTAGAATCAGATGGATTCATATCAATGACTAATATACTAAGCTCTTTATGAATGGATTCTGCAACTGTCTTACTCTGTCCCTTGTTTTTTTTTTTCTGTAAGATACAATGCAATAAAGCCTTAGTCAGCTGTAGTATACAGAATAATTGAACCAAGAGTCTTCACCTAGTCCTGACCAAGAGACACCAACATCTCATTTTCAACAATGGAAAAACCAACAGGGTGTGAGAGCAATATCCTTCTGTCCCTCATTGTAGTATAAATGGCATGCTGATACAATATATTAAAAATTCATATCCTATCAGATACATTGTTTTGAGTATGTGTGCTCATTCAAAGCTCTTAGTTGCCAATCTTTTGAAAATATAATGTAATCTTAAAACAAGGCGGGGGTATTAAATGTGCTAAGTGAAGAACAGTGTCAACTTCTCTGGGTCAGTTCAGATGTAATGAGAAGCCATTATGCTCCCCCATTCCCCTTCTCACGACAAAGGGAAGCATGTCTCTTCTTGGGTTTAAAAGTCATGTTACTTGTTTAATTATGGTTTTTGAAAAAGTTGGATCTGAAACATCTGTTTGTTAAGACTTGTTTTCAGTTCCCCAGATTTAATTGTTTACAGGTAATTCTTCTGTAGTTAAAAGAAGATGCGAAAATTTCTTATTTCCTCACAGAATCTTCCACAGCCCATTCACATAGGGAGGAATCATGGTTTCTCATTACATCAGAAGTGGGCACCAGTGTAACCTTCTCCAGCCACCCATCCTTCCCCAAATGTATGTGAAGTTTTCTCAGTTTACTAAGGTATCTTTTCTACTCGATCACGGATGGGGCTTCTACTGGTTCTCTTGGTTTGCACTTGGGTGACAAAGTGTATATTTGTCTCATGTGGCTGAAATTGCATAATTTTATAAAAGTGTGGAGGTGAAAAAAAAGACCGCTTGTATTAATGTAAAGATAAATTAAGGTAAAGTTGTACCTTGGAAGGGGAAAATAACTTTGGAAGAAAACAACGTACTGTGATGATAGTTTTTGATACATGGGATGTTTTATGTAGTCTGAAATACCTAAAACATACATCGGATAGTAGTTTCTTGACAGTGAATTGAAAAGAAATAATTAAAAAACAAATAGGTATGAAGCAGTTTAAAATCTTTTATTCCCTCCTTTTTAACAACAGATGATTCATAATTACATGGAACACTTGGAAAGAGCAAAATTTCATCAGTTGACAGGAGGGGATCAGCCAGAGCCCATCATGCACAGTAGAATTAGGTAAGCTTCATTGAATTTTGTCTGAGTGAAACCCATTCAGTTTTGTTTCAAGGCTTTGTTTTTTTTAAAAAATCTTAAATAATGATTAGAGAGTCACAATTACGTTTTTGCTGGATTACAAGAAAGACTGTAGAAATCTTTCAGGAGGAATGAACATTATTTTAATGGGAAAAATTGCCTGGTTAATCCTGACTTAAGTTTAAACTCATTCTTATGTAGACTTTATGTAGCAGGATTTTTCTTTCCCTTCTCCGACAGGGATGAAAAACAACAAAAGGATATGCAGTTAAGGGTGTGAAATAATTGAATCTCATTTCCCCTCTTTACACCATTGTGCACATTTTCATGAAAGGAGATCTCCAACTAAAGCTTTGTCTACATTATGGAGATGCCTGAGCTTCCCATCCAATCAAGTGGAGCCAGGCTGCAAAGGTTCAGCGTAGGGGGGTGGAGGAAACTGCCAACGAGCTTGCTTGTATCCTTAGGTTGCTTGCTGCATAGATGCTGAAGAAAAGAGAAGCCGCTCGGATTCCTTTTTCCTTTGTAGGTGGGGGAGGAGAGCGAGGTGATGTCATTTTGCTTTGGAGCTACTGCAGAAGATAGTGGAAAGCTGCTGTCGATGGCATTGTTTCTGTGGCAGCAGCTCAGTGACAGACTTTTACTACAAAGATACTCCCTTGTCCCCTGCGTAGCCTCGGTTCTTGCATTTCACCATGCCAGCGCAGCGCCATGAGTCCTGGATGCATGCTGCTATTTGTGTTTGGCTTCGTTGGCGGGGCGGTGGTCATTAATTCAGCTATTTTAGTGTCTCTTTCCGTTTTGCTGCTTGTGCACTTTTCTATATCCACTGGTGTGCCAGCTCTGACGCAGAATTTACCAAGGATTCTCAGGTATTCTGACCCCGGAACCTTTGCTTTTTAAAAAATATTCTTTGTTCTTAGCCTACCATGTTATTTCTCCTCTCTTGAATAGGAGTAGAAAGTGGGAAATGGTGGGGTGATGCTGATTTGAAGTGCCATTTTCAAATCTCAGTTTGATATTTTGTAGACTCTGTAAAGTGTACAATTTATTATTGTAAAGATGGGACATGGTTTTTTTGATGTGCTTTGTTTGAGATTACAAAATCAGTTGCTTCCTGAGAAAATCTTTTATGAAATTAGCAACTTCAAAAAGCTTTCTGTAACAGCCTTTCATTTATTCAGTTGGTGTTTTGCTTCCAAGAATCATGTATAATCTGCCTGGGATTAATTCTTCAACACAAATTATTCAAATTGCATAATTGCTTTCTATTTCTCTAAATAGATTGTTGCATGCATTTAGGAGTATTATAATGTGAAAAATAGGATATAAATGTATACTTTTTAAACCCGTATCTAGTAATATTTTTTTTCACCCCAGAGTACTGAGTTGCAGACTATTTATCTGGACTTATCAAACTACTTTTATAGCAACAATGTTCCATATTGCTGTTTGAAAACTTCTGTTTTTTAAAAAAACAAATATCTACATTGATTGCATGCATAATTGCATGCATATTAAGGTATAGCTAGCAAATCAAGATCAAATGTCACAGTCCAATATCCACAATTTAATAAAAAATTGTTTCTATTTGGAACCTTTCCCTAATGAAATTTTACCTTTACAATGCATATTTGGTGGAGTCCATTGATCCAGTTCTTTCCAATTTGAACTCTGCTGTTACATAAAAGTACAGCAAGCTGCATACATGGCTTTTACAGTTAATGTAAGTGGATCAATGTATTTTATCGAATTGCTTTGTCTCATAGGAACTTCTACAAACTCCTGTGGGGTATTAGGATTTTCATATTTCCCTGGAATATACCAAGGGAGAGAGAAGTCTTAACATAATCAGGAGATTCTGGTAATCCAGTCTAAGGAGATTTAATTTAAAAGTAAAAGACCATAGAAAGTCTGAAGAATACGAAATGAAGGCATTTAATTTGATTACAGATGGATCTTTTTGCTTTGTCAAAAATGTTTCCAAAAAGCTGCTTACTGTATAAACTTCTACAATGCTTTAAATGCTATCTGCATTTATATAGATATATAAACTTTTGGATGCAAAATGAAGTTTATGCATTAACTGGGGTCTTAAATTGTAGGCGTGCATTTTGTAGAAGCCTGCAGAAGACTGCAAATATTAGTATTCATGTTTTCAGTAGCTAAGGATTGCTTTTTATTTAGTTTTGCAAGCCAGTAAGGAATCTGATCCATTGTGAAGAATTGATTGTGAGTTTTCACACAATTAATTCACACAATGAATAAAGGACCTGAATGTTCTTTCATTCATATTATAGCTGAACATATAAAGTAGATGGGTAGGTCTTCCCCTCACCCCTTTACAGTGGAGCTAATATAAATGGAGCACAATGGTGGATTTAAGCACACATGTATAGAACTCATTCTGGTAGCATCTTTCCATGGCTTATATTGCATTTGCACTTACCCCACTCCTACTCATATTTGATGAATCAAATTAGCTTTTTTTTTAAAGTCATTTTTCCCCCATTTGATGTTGTAAGCCGCCCAGAGTAGCCCCTTGGCAAGATGGGTGGCAGATAAATTTAACAAAAAATAATAAATTTGAAATTAAACAGACCCCATTAGTGGTCGCTTCCTTACTTGTTTCTCGGCAGAATGTAAAATATTCAGAGTTGGCCAATAGAAATGATAAGTGAAAATATATTTTTTAAAAATACTTGGTACCATTACACTAGAATATAGAAGTATCTTCATATATTCTGTTAAAAACAGATTACTTACAAGATCAGTCTTATAAAAGAGTGGTCACATCCTTTCCATTGACAAGACATATTTCAAGATCAAGTGGAAACTTTGAAGCTAGAGGAGAATGCTAAATGAAGCAGTGGAATTCAAAATAGTCCAAGTGAGAAGATTGAATTAGAGCTGTGCAACACATTCAAAGACCCGCTGAACAAAGTATAGTTGTACAAGTGAAGTCCTCCTCGAAGAATTGTGGCTTAGGTTGTTTTTTGTGCCTTTTCTGCATTCAGTGGCTTTGTTTAGATGACAGACTGAGCAGGATGGAAAACCTGGGAAAGCGCTCAAAATTGCTAGGTTGGCCTTCAGACGATGCAGCTGCCTCAGGGGTTTGAGAAGTGTTTTGTTCACACTGAGATGCTACATTTATTTATTTATGAGACTTATATACCGCTTTAAGTGCAAGCACTCTCTAAGTGGTGTACACCAGTAAGCAATGTATATATATATTTACATTGCCCCCAACAATCTGGTTCCTCATTTTACCTACCCCGGAAGGATGGAAGGCTGAGTCAACCTTGAGCCGGTGAGAGTGTTTTTCATTGTTCTAGTATTAAACCTTGTAAAATGACTTAATAGATATAAATGCCTCATGTTATCGCTTGTTACAATGTGTGAATGTTATTCAGTAAAGATGATTTAAACATGCCATGACTTTGCGTGATGTGTATAGATACCTGAAATATCTTTTCACACGATACATAATAGAGCTTAATTACAGACTGGGAATCTGCCTATATTAAAGTTGTATGGAAGACCTGGATAGCTCATCTAGTAGCCACACCATGTGCATTGTTGCTGATGGTGAACTGTGTATGTATGTATATTCAAATAGATTTTAGTAATTGTTGTATGATGCCTGATAAGCAATTATAGTCGGGTATTTAATAATATACAAACTCAAATAAATCAGTGCATTCTCTTGGCTTTTATTATGAAATGAGTGGTTTCAGAGATAGGTACTATTTGAAAATACTGTACAGAAATCAGATGGAAAATAGATGATTGCATGTATGAATATTTTTGTTTCATGGGCTGTTTTTATCAAATGCATTTAATCAAATACAGTGAAGTTGTGTTTTGACGAATAAGAGAGATACTATATAAAGATTCTGCTATACTTTGTATTCAGAAAGGTGTTTTGGAATGTGTAGCAGCATAGAAATAGCATTTTCCGCAGCTTTTTAAAGCAACTATGAGTTTTCCTGGGATTGTACAACTTCCTTCTGAAACTATCGCCTGGTATCATGTGAAGATGCAGTTACTTTAAAGAGTTGTAAGCAAGGGATACATTTATGTCCCTGAGTGCTCCCAAACAATTTTTGGAATTGAATTGGAACTCCTGTATAGCCATAGCATGTGTGTGATTTGCCAACATTTAACTGAATTATCTTGTTTTAATCAGGTCTGGATGGCGCACACACAAAAAAAGAAGTCTGGATTCCATACATTTTTTAAGCATTATATTTAATATAGTTCTGATGCTTGTGTATCTATTTGTATTTGGATTATTTGTACATTCATAACATGTATATAAAAAGGGAAACAGCACAGGCAATAATTTGAATTCTGTTCAGGACAGAAGTGGAAATTCATCCAGTTCCTTCAGATTTTTATACCCTTTGCTACTAATCTGAGGCCTTTTAAATTGATAAACATTCATTCTTAAAGCAAAGCATAATTTTATCTGATTTCTGAGTTTAATGTAAGTAAAATTTAGAGTCACCCACAAACATTTACTCTTCCAATCAAATCTTCTTATGATTCCTCACAATGTTTAAAAAAGGACTAATATTAAAAACAAAATATTAAAAAAATGAAGACAATACACATACTCCTTGAGTTCCAACTCTTTGTTCAGTGACTGTTTGAAGGTAGGATAACCCTAAACAAAGGGGCTTATGACCAATTCTCAAAGTTCCAGTCATTGCAGCATCCCACAGTTGGGTGATGGTTGTTGTCAGCCTTCTCTGCTGGCTTCCCACGGGCAGAATCAATGGGGAAGCCAGCAGGGGAAGTCACAAATCACCCCTCCCACATTTCTTTGCTTGCCTGCACTGCATCCCCCTTCTCTCTTGCTTGCTTGCACCCACCAGCCCCCTTTTTCCCAGCCTCCCTGTGCTTTCTCTCACACAAGCTTGCGGCACCCCTACACTGCTTATCTGGGACTCTTTCCACTTAATGACCTGCAGATCTTGGGGTTATGACAGATTGCCTTTACTAAACAATGTTGCACTTCTTGACCACATCAATTAGCGAAGGCATAAATCATGAGCAATGAACAAGATCAGAGTGAGCAGTAGCAGCAGACCAATGAGCGGAATGACTTCCCAGACTTTGCTCAATGAACTCCAGTGAACCCCCTTAGGTGAGGCATACTTTAAAAGAGGATCACCATAAGAAAGAACCACCTTTTGTTTACATATAGAAGCTCTAAGTTATATGGATATTGTCCGTGTCATTATTATGAGTTATTCAAGAAATTCTTATGGCTCTATAATGATTGCTATTTTTGTTCCTGCATGAGCACCTTCTTCAGCATAATTTGTTTCAGGACAATTTTAACATTTTTAGATAGATGATAGAGACACACTTATTACAGATTTTGAATCTGTTTGTAATTGCCTGTTTTGTATACTAGCCTGAGAACTGCTGCTACTTTGTTAGAAATTGTTTTCAGATTGGTGTATAATGTGCTGGTGTCTAGTCAGAAAAAAAACAATAGCATGGCTTGTTTTTAGCTTATTTTTCAGTTTGGTGGTGAGTGGAAATCAATGGGAGAACAGCATTATATACAAGCCTCCATTGGATGCTGTCAAGCTAATCAGGGCACTGAGAGGAAGCCAGCACATATGATCTGATGTACACTTGGCACATAACCCATAGTGAAGATGTTGGGTGATTGTAGTTTATAGTTCCTCATTTACTTTTTTTATTTAACTGCCTGACCTGGTATTTTACACTGTGTTGATTTGTTGAACCAAAGAGATTTTTTTCTGTTCCGTCTTCTATTGCTTGTGGCATAAACAATTCATTGCTGATATGTAACTATCTTTTCCTCCTGCACTACGCCTGGCCACATGTCAGCCCACCTTGCTTTTTCATTTTAGCCATGTGCAAATGGTATTTCATTAGGATAACCAAATACTGCAGGGGGAGGAGTCATTATCTTTGGGGCAAAACCCTGTAGTATGATAGGTGTGACCAAGACCTTGCAGTAATAGCAATGGAGATGGCTGCCTGCAGCTATAGATGTCCTACCCAGGAACGCTAGTCTAAAATGCTGTAAAAACCTCACGGTAGTTAAAGCAGTGTTTCTTGATTTTGTTCCACTTGGAGCCATCTTTTCTGTGGGAAAGTTCGCTGGTGATACAGTGTGAATGAAAGCTTTATAGAGTACAGAGCAAGTCTGGTGAATGGATGTGTAGGACCAGCATACTAATCAATTGAATAGTCAAATGATTGTGCTGGTTTGACTGTAGTCAATATTTGTTAAACATTCCCTGAAATCGTGAATGTGTTTGTGTGGCAGCCAAGGTTTTAAATTAATTATTATTCCATATGGAAACGAGGATCCTTTTATTCTCTAGTCCCAAATGATACTTAATGTTGGCAGCTTCTCCAAAGGAAAGATAGCCTGTATTATCTTTCACAAGCTCTAATTCCCATTCAAAACATTAATTTAAATAGGCAGGAATACCTTGATTTAAATCAGGTTCCTCTGATGTTACTTTACAAACTAAGAAATCTGATTTGTAAACCATTTAAATTTACAATTAGAATATTATTTTTGTTGTTGTAACTAGCCCTTGCATCTCTTGGTCTAACTATTTGTGTGGCTTCCTTTCCCAAAAAGTATCTTTACAATATTGCAGGGTAATATGTTTTTTCAAGCATTTAATATGAGGTTAAGGATGGGAATTTAGAAACTTTTGTATAGTTATAAATATATTTTTATCTTTATTTCAGTGTGGAAAAGTCCTATATCATTCAGCTTTGGCCTAGCGTTATTAAAAACATCAAGAAAAAATATAAATATATGCATAAATAAATATTATTTATCTGATAAATATTAAGCATTCTACTTTAATTTTTGTCAGGTGAAAATCAAATATCCATATGTAAGAGATGAAATGCAGTGATCTTTCCTTTAGGGAGACAAATCTCCTTTGAATATTTTGGGAAAGTATTGGTTTAAAAGCAAAGCGAAATGAACTGCATACTTACATGCAGTTTATTCCATGATATATTTTCTTTATTCAATTTGGGGGAAAGTTTAGCTTTTCTGGAAGTTTTTAATCTGTGTTTCCTTAGCAAAAGCTGTTTGAAATCACAGTTACTTGATAATTAGTTTTAAATTTTAAATTAGTTTTACCATTGGTTGCCCTTTTCCAAACTTGATACCTATTTCATTTGTTTCATTTGTAGTGTATAATTGCTATGTTGCTTTCCTACTCAGAAATGTATGCATAATCCAAGATTTTCTAATGAGATGTTGATATTAGCTTTATTTTCAGGAAAGTATGTTTGTAACATGGCCTTAAATGAATTAATATGTACATTGTCTACTGCAGACATATCAAATTCGTGACGTCACGTGACGTTGCACAACGTATCGGGACAGTTTTGCCATTGCCGGCAATGGGGTGGGCGCGGCTTCCGCGTGACACATCTGGCCCGTGGGCTGGCAGTTTGACACCCCTGGTCTACTGCCTACATGTAAAGCAGCGTGAGAGAGTATTTATCGTGAATCAGTTTAAAATGGTAAACATGATTTCAACATTTTACGTTTCAAAAATCGAGAATGTGTAAGAAATTATAACATATGATATTGTCCTCTTTATCTACAGAAAGGAGCCTCCTATATCATTGGGCATCTTTCCGCTCCCTACAGGAGATGCACTTCTTACTCCTGATTCTCAGAGAGGATCAGTGGAAACTCCTGGATCAGATAGTTGGAAGTTCCGTGAACTAAGTCAGCCTCGTTCCCGCACCAGCCTCAAGGTAAAGGAGCTGTTTTAATTTTCACAGAAAAAATTATTAATTTGTTCCTCAGGATGTATGTGTATGAATAAAAGCTAAACTTCCAATTGTCTTTTCGTAGTGCACAAATTTTTGAAACTCATTCCAGGTCAGTTAAAGGTAAGTTCCTTTTTCTTCTAATGTATGGTTTACTGAAAAGCTGATATCTGCACTTGGAAATATGGGAAGACAACATTTTCAAATATTTTAGACATACTGTTTTCCAAGCTTGCAGTTGGGTAAGAATCCTTTGTAGGGCTTACTCAGTTTATCTTTAGGAATTATTAATATTTATATTTACTGTTTTCAGATTTTGATTGCAAACGCCCTCCCCAGCTGATCGTCGGCGTTTGATTGACTCTGGAAACCTCCGGAGCGATCCGGACTCGTTGATGCAATTCAAGGCCCCTGCGGCCTCCCCGAGTCAGTCCGGGCTCTTTAAGGCCAACAAACGCCCTCCCCAGCTGATCAACGGCGTTTCGAGTGACTCCGGAAGCCTCCGGAGCACTCGGACTCATCTATGCAATTAGAGGCCCCTGCGGCCTCCATGAGTCAATCCAGCTCTTCAAAAGCCGTTGGAGCTGTAGCCGCAAGCTCCAACGCCGGAGGGGAATTGGTGAGAGTGGGGGGGATTGGAAAAGAAAGGAAGAAAGGACGGAGGACCCCCCCTTTACTCGGCGAGGAATGAATGGGGGGGGGAAGTGAGTTGGAAAGAGGACGGAGTCCTCTGTTAGCAAACTGAAGCCCAAAGGGAATCAGGGGAATATTCCTCTGGAGGAGCGCTGGTCCCAGCGCTACTCAGGGAACAAGTCAAGGGAATTTAGAAATTTTAATAATCTAATGGATAATCCACTAATAGGTAATCCACTAATATCTGCCTGTGAGCCAAACCTGCACGTCTGTTCTGGGCAAGATCAAGTCGAAAAACTGGGGCAAACAGGCCCAGGACAGGCGTGGCAAGTTTGGCTGACTTGATCTGATTGCGCAGGAGGATTAAGTTAACCCATTAGTGGATTATCCATCTCCAGTGCTGGAGAATGTCTTGTAGAGTTTTACTCCTTAAATAAGTAATGCCATGGCACTCACTGTATTTTCTACTGGGACTTACTGATCTCCTTTCTTCTAAACTGTATGGTATCCACCTAGCAAGCATTTATTATAATATAGCCCCGAATAAAGCCATAATATGAATCCATTCACATGAATTGGTCATTAAGTACACATATTTTTTCACTTCAGAATTATAACCCTAAAGCTTCAACTTGAACTCTGATACATTGTTTGGTGCACATTGGGTTTTGGGTCAATGAAGCTAATGAAAAAGTAGTGTTAACTCTTTACATATTTAAATGTATTGCTATGTGGATTACACGCAATTTAGATTGTCTGGTGAAGGATAATCTTTTGCACTTTTTCTGGACATTTTGGTGAAGGATAATCTTTTGCACTTTGTCTGGATATATCTGAAATATTTAAATTCATTGATATTCTAAATACTGCAAAGTAAACTGAGAAAATTCCCCAACACAATACATAATCTTCATAGTAAAAGCCTATGACAAATTATCAAAATCTATCAACATAAGCATATTGTTGAATCATATTTTTAGATAGATAGATAGATAGATAGATAGATAGATAGATAGATAGATAGATAGATAGATAGATAGATAGGTTGCTGGGCTGCTCATGGGCCACAGAAACTATCACACATTATCCATAAAGGAAATGGAGGCCCTAGAGCAACTCAGGAGGGATGACACTGTCACCATACTCCCTGCAGATAAAGGGAGGGTGACAGTGGTCATGGATAAGACGCTTTATATAACTAAAGCGCTAGAGCTTCTTAACGATAGAACAGCATATAAAATAATTGGGAAAGACCCCCCCGGTGACACTCAGGAACAAAGTTAATAAACTGCTGGATACTTTTAAGTGCAGTAGAAAGATAAGTGAGGACACCCTGAAGAAAGTGCGCCCATGTGACACGGCACTTGCTAGGTTTTATGGGCTACCCAAAATCCACAAGGAAGGCGTTCCTCTTCGCCCCATAGTTTCATTTAGAGGTACTCCTACTGTGGGGCTGGCAAAATGGCTTAGTGGCCGTATTTGCCACCTTGTGGATGACAGTCTCACTACTCACTACCCAAGTCAGCGGAGGAGTTCCTGGGTAAGATCAAGACACTCAGGGTGGAGGAGGATGAGATGATGGTATTATTCGATGTTACCTCACTCTTCACCTCCATCCCCCAGGACTTAGCCATCTCTGTCCTGAGAGACCAGTTGACAGACAAAAAGGGGGGTCATTACGAGGACTCCCTGCAGACGGAAGACCTCGTGAGACTAATGGAGGTATGCCTAACAACCTATTTCACGTGTCAGGGTGTCATATATGAAGAGATTAACACACCTATGGGCTCCCCCATCTCCAGCATTGTAGCAGAGGCAGTGCTTCAACAATTAGAGCGTAAGGCGATGATTCTATACCATCCCAAATTTTGGGTTCGGTACGTGGATGACACGTTTGCTGTTGTTAAAAGACAACATGTAGCTGACTTTATGGGAATACTGAACTCGATTTACCCTGATATAAGATTCATGGTGGAGGAAGAGAAGCAAGGCCGTTTAGCCTTTTTGGATGTGCTGATCCAAAGCTAGTCGGATGGATCATTATACACAAAAGTTTACCGTAAGCCCACCCATACGGACAGGATTCTCCACTACAGGAGTAATCACCCGGTGTCCCATAAGGTCAGCTGCATTAGAGCGTTATTTAAGCGCATGGACTCCCACTGCAGCACGGTTGAGTTCAAAATGGAGGAAAGGGAACATCTCCTCTGCATTTGTCAACAGAATTGGTATCCTTTAAAATTTATAAAGCGGCATGGCACAATACCTAAACCCCGAAGCAACCAGCAGAGGGATGAATCATTCCCACAGAAGACTCGTATCTCCTTGCCTTACATTAATAACGTCTCTGAGGCAACAGCCAGACTGTTGGCCCCCTATAACATAGAGGTGGCCCATAAGCCCAATCAAACGCTACGCTCCAAAATTGTGTGCCCCAAGGACCCACTCGCCGCTATGGAAAAATCTGCGGTGGTTTACAAAATTGACTGTAAGAACTGTCAAAGTAACTATATGGGCGAGACATCCAAACGGTTAAAAACCCATTTACATGAGCACAAACTGGTCGTAAGAAGGGGCGAGCAACACTCTCAAGTTTGGATGCATATGGCAGAACATGGTCGTCAATTTGATTTTGATAACACATGGATTATATCCAGTGATGCCACGAAAGGGGGCCGACTATTAAAGGAAGCCTAGTTTTCAGACAAGGACTCAATCAATCGCCATGTAGATCTTTGCCTGACACAACAGGCACTGAGGAAATGGAGTATGAACCGTCACTCCACTCGCTGCAAACGATCCGTACGAGGCTTACGAGACCGAGGAGACAACATCATATCTAACTCCCTGTATGGACAAGCACACGAGACTTCCATTGACCCATAGCAGCCCACGGACCCCCCCCCTTGGCATCTAGTCAACAGCAGACTCACTCCGAAGAACAGCTGAGGCATCTGTTAAGAACCGAGTGCCCCTCGGAAAGCGGAGGAGGGAGAGCCCGCCGGGCGGGAGATTTGTGTGTCTTCCGACAACATCTTAATAGATCCTCGCCCCCTGGGTGGAGGAGTGAGGCTGATTACATCAGTAAGAGATCCGGGGGAGCTGGCGACGGGATTTTCGAGCCCAGTGTTGCCCACATTAACGAAGAGGAGCGGCTTATACGGAGAAGAAGAGGATGTGGGGTGGTGACTCGCTTGCGCTGTAAAAGAGAGGGAGAGGTTTCCCCCCCTCGCCCTATGGACGAGCGGAAGATCACGGACGGGGGATACTTGTGCCCGCAACTGGCGGCTTCCCCGATGGAATACAGGGGATTCGCCTCAGATAGGGGTGATAACTGCTAGCAACAGACAGCACAGCAAGGCATAGTTGATACAGAGAGCGCTAAGATGGGGGGCGAAGGGGGAAGTGCTGAGCAGTATGATACCCGGACAAGTACTATCCACATAGGGGGGAAGAGGATGGGGGAGGGGGAGCAAGGAGAGACCATCGACTTACAATTGAGAGTGGGAGAAGATATTTGGAGCCCTAATGGAACATAACGATAGTATGAAATCAAATGACCCCCCATAACCCACAGCAGAGAGAAAAATGGTATGGGAGTAAATATCATTGAAGAGGAGGAGGGTGAAAGGACTCTAACAAATCTAAGAACTAACATTGAGAGAACAAGTAAGAGTGTCCAAAAGAGTAGTAGAGGAGAGCTGGATGCAGACGTCATAGAAACGACCAGAACACAGATTAACTGGTTAGGACCAATGACGCGGTCTAGGAGCCGGGCGCAAGCATTATTATTTAAGGCATTTCCACTAACTGGCTTTTAACCCTGACGATGTTGGGAGCTCCCAACGAAAGCTTGGTTTTATTAAAGTATTTTCTTACTTGGATTCTCCTGGTGATCGTAAGTTATTTATTTTATATTATGAATATACCCAGGAGTCACATCTTTACGGACATTATCAACCGTGTGTGTGTGTGTGTGTGTGTGTGTGTGTCTGTCTGTCTGTCTATCTATCTATCTATTTATCTATCTATATCTATCTTTGGTTATTCGGGTTTTCTCCCGCGTCAAATTGGAAATGTCTTGGCAACGTTTCGATGAAGTCTCATTCGTCATCTTCAGGCTGGTGTTTTCGGCTTCGTGCTTCTAGGAGCAACGTGTGATCGTAGCTGTTTCTTCCTTTTAACTGCCAATGGGGGTATGAACTGATTGGATGAGAGCTTGGCTGTGTTCTGACTGGATGGAGGTGTGTTCTGATTGGTTAGGAGCTTGGCTATGCTCTGATTGGATGGGGGGTTGGCTGTGCTCTGATTGGTTGGGGGAGTGTTCTGTTTGGGTGGGGGCTTTGCTGTGC